GCCCCCTTTGCTCTTGGGGTGCCCATTCCTGGGGGACTTTGCCGGGAGTGGGGGGGGGCACAGCGTTTAGAGAGGGGGGAGGGGTGACATTGGTAGTCATTTCTAGCCCATTAGAGCGGTCTTTCTCAATCTTAGCAATTTTAAGATGTGGGGACTCCCAACACTCAGGATTCCCCCAGCCAGCGTGCCTTCGAGCAGTGTTTTTCCAACTTGGCAACTTTAAGATGGGTGGACTCCAGCTCCCGGAATTCCCCAGCCAGCCAGCCAGCCAGCCAGCCAAGCATTGCCGGCAGGGGAATTCTGGGAGTTGAAGTCCACCCATCTTAAAGTTGCCAGGTTGGAAAAACACTGCATCAGAGCAACCCTCTCCTTGGCCTCTCTGATCTCTGCTAGAACCCTCTCCAAATAGGTTGGACTACAAACCCCATCGCTTGGAAGGGGTAAGGAGGTAAGGGGAGACGCTCTTGGAGCCATTGGGAGAGCACTCCAGTGACTGCTTGAGGGGCTTTGGGAGGATTTGGGAAGCCAAAGAACCTTGGAAAGAGCCTTCTCACAAATGAGGAGGTGGGCTCAGGCAGCTAAGGGGTGGACCAGAGCTCACTGGATGAAGAAAATAGCCCAGAAGGGAGAAGGAGAAAGACCCTGCTGTGCTAGTTTTCTTATTGCAGGAGAACGTCCCTGTGTGTGTTGTCTGTCCTACGGAGAACATTCCCCAAGACAGTTTCATACGCCTCTTTCTGACGCACACAAATACCATGGGAGGAATCTGAAATAATGGGTCCCCAAATTCTATCGCGTCATCCTGCCTAGTATTTCAAAATAATGTGGGTGGCTTAATGCTAGGATATTTCCATTCATGTTGGACTAGATGGAGTTTAGCTGGGAAGCCTTAGCAGTCAGCCCAGCCCTGCCAGGGCAACAAATCGTTTACTCGTGTGCCTACTCGCTAGTCATCTACCCTCTCAGGACTAAAAGTTTGGACATCACCCTCTCCGGAAGGAAAGTGGGCAGAGCAACAGGAAATTGGATTCCTCATTTCCAAGGTGAATTACCAGAATGGCAGTGGCTTCTCTTGAAGCTCAGAAATGAGGACAATGGGAGTGAAATCACATGTTGATAAGGAGGAGGTTCTCTTCAGATTTCTAAGAGCTTTCCAGAAGTATTTGGCTGGCATGGGTGGAAACGGGACTGGGCACAACTGGACTTTGCTTTGACCCAGAAATGTAGCTAAACGAGTAAGATAACTTTATCTTCTAGGAGGTGAAGTGTGACCAAAGCCCACTAATCTTTCTTACTACATTGTGTTCAAAGATTGAGGTCAAAAGTTAATGCAAAAGTGAAATGGAAAACCTGGGCTCTGATTTTCCCCCTTTAAAAATGAAAATCAAAACCACAAAAGTCTACAAGTAAGACGAGCCAACATCATTCTGACTTCTCTTTAGCCTAATATCCATTCCGAGAACAAATCAGATCCATAAAAGGATTCTAAACAGTATAAACTGTCACTAGGCCTTTACTACACCTGTAAAGTAGAAAACCACTTTTTAAAATAACAACAAAACAAAAACCAGTAGTAACCTTTGATTTCTTACAGTACTTTGTTGTATTTTTTATTTTGTTGTTGTTGTTGCCATTTCAAAATTGGGTTCGTCGTTACCTTATTATTATCAGAAAGTTCTTTTTAAATTGTTTGCGTCAACCCAGAGATACTTTTGCAGTCAATCTGGACCATGTAATAAAAAGTAATGCATTAAATATTAAATAGAGGAGAAGAATCAGTCCAGATCCCTCTCCCCTTGTATGATTATTAAATGCTTATTTTTATGATGAGGAAGGTACCAAGGAGTTTGTTCAATGGAGAGCTAATAATTTGTTTAGGTTGCAAATTACTAACAAGATGAAGGTAAAGTATTTTGAAATTCTTACTTCACAATGGTCCAGTTTACCCAATTGATTTCAGTATTTTCAAATACATAGTATAGTATTAAAAAGAATTGCAGAAACAAGAAGGAATACAGAGAGATACAAACTGAATTTGGGGATTTTATAATACGTAGCTCAGAATAATCGTTGGGCCATTAAAGACTGTTGATGAAATATGACTCAGAATCCAAGTAGGTCAACGATTGTATGATTAAATGAATACAGAATACATCAATGGAGATGCAGCAGGGAGAATTTCAGTGGAAGTATATTGAATTCACAATGGGCATTTGGAGAAAAGTGGTATAAGCTGTTTTATCGTTGGCATATGACTTGTCTTGACTGTTAAAATGGACAATTCGTTTTCAAAAAGTTGACAATTTGGAAGTTGAATTCTCTTTGCAACTAGAGATGCTTTTATTAAATCAGGGGTTCCTAAACCTTTTGCCATCACATCTCCCTTTAGTGTAATCTTAATGTACACACCTCCCTAAAAATCCAAACACCCAAATGAACACAAATGAATAATGAAAACAATACAGTGAAACTTTGGGAAAGGTGGATTTACTGTATCAGTGTAACTAAAAAGCTCTTCACACCTCCCCAAGAGAGGTACACCTCACATCTTGGGAAACCCTGTATTAAATTTTGCTAAGCCTTCAAAGTATACTGAACTAGGTTTATACATATTAACTGCAGCAAGGATATTAAATACTTCTGATTGGAGAGGGTGTTTGATCCCTTCCTTGGAAGAATAGCTAATCAAGTTATGGGACTATACTTCAATGTCCAAAATAACTTTGTATTTAAAAAGTAAATCTTATGTAAAATTCAATTCTAACTGGAAACCATTCTTGGACTACAATTTACTATAAGGATTTGTTATACCTGTTATTAGCAATTCATATGTGCTGACCAGGTATTTTTATTTAATGCTTAATAGCAGCTTTTAAACTCTCCTTTAAAAAGGGATACAACACATGTCATAATGTTATAAGTAACTAAGGATGCATTGAAAAATGTTAACCTCTATGACATTTTGGACCCCGTGTTTACTTGTATCTTATTCTTGTATTCTTTTTGTATGTCTTTCATTTTTTATGGCTTATAGTCTTTTCTAAAATGCTTAATGAAAAATATTAAAAGGAAATTAATATGCAGTTTTCCTTTTTTAAATGAATGACAGAAATATGCCAAACTAAAACTTAGTAATGAGCTCAGTTGCCAGTTAGTTAAGATATTTACTTTACTGGCATTCCAGGTGTATTACTGCAGTCTTTGACCAACGTGTCGAAGTTAAGGAGATAATTGCCTATGAATATGATAGTGCTTGGAAGGCTCACCAAAAGGATATTAGCTTTCTAATTTGCACAGCTAAAAAAACTAAACTAAACTAAAAGCCTGCTTTTGCGACAAAGTACAAATTTCCCCCCATCCTTGGACATTCAACAGTGTCTTGAAAGTCCATCTCAACACCTCTGGATGGTGCCAGATTAGCAAACAGAATTTCTATTCCCAGCGACTTGATATATAAAGGAGGAGGCCAAAGAAAACCCCAATAAGAAAAGTACTTCACAAACATTCAAAATGAAAAAGAAACTTGTTTCTTTAGAAGGAGGAAAGACCCACTTTGAGGGCCTTATCTTATGGTGTAGCACATCAGCATGAATGATCCACATTCTCCTCGCTGGGTTGTTGCTCCAAGGCTTGTCTGTGTTGGCTCAGCTTCTAAGTGTTGTCAGGTTATATTGCTCACTTTATGACTAATATCCTCCCTTTTGTCTTGCAGAGGCTGCTGTAAAACATGAGGCTAAATGAAAGGCTGATCAGGCCCTTCCAACCTCCTGCCACTGTCCGAAAATTCTCAAGTAGCCAGGTGTTTTTATTCAAAAGCAGTGGACAATCTGATTCTGAGGACTCGTCAGAGGAGGAGTTCGATGCCATGGAATTACGAGCAAGGGGGAGAGAGCCGCAGCAATGCAGTTCTTCCCAGAGCAGAGCTGGAGACGTGCAGCTTCTAGAACGAGTTGTTAAAGAGGATGACAACCTCAACAAGTTGGCTCTGCAGTATGGGTGCAAAGTAAGAAGTGGCTTCTTTTGAGGAAAGCGATTCCTCTGTTTCTATCAGCTCGATCAACATGGTTTTCATATCAAGCAATGCTGTTAACAGAATGGATTTCTGGTTGAGGATGTTTTAAGATTAGGAAGGGCAATCTGGTATTTCCAGTTGGGAGGCTGCCCAAGTTGTCTGTTCCCAAATGCCGCCTTTAATGAAACAAGCCAAATTAGGAGCTTCCATACTTGCGTTCAGTCCTTTAACTCATTCATTAGACTATTTTTAGCTGATCTAAGAATATTGTGTAACTTGAAAATTAAGGCTGATTAAACTGAGGGTTTAATTAGATCTCAGAATATAAGAAGCTCCCTTAAAAGAACTTGAATCATAGGTTGGTCTACCTAGCAGATGATGGGTCTCCACAGGTTTTGGATTCCAGGTTTCCTCCGCCAGAGATTAATTTGAAGCTGAATTAGAGCATCAATATCATGTAAGAAATCTTTGTCTAGGAAAATCTTAAATATTTGGAGCTTTTTATATTGTTTTTAGGTGAGTAGACTGGGTAGAATGCATCAAATAGAAGTTTACAAAGTTATAAATGATTAGAGAAAGCTTTCTCTTTGTTAATAGTTTGCATGATTTGTTTGGAAGTTTTATACAACGTAACATTTGTTTATGAAATAGCTTGTCTTAGGGGGAAAAAAGAATGAGAGAATTAACCTTTGGTAGGGACCTCTCTTCCTGATTCTGGTTCCTAACAAGGTACAACTTTAGCTTCCTTGCAGACTCACAAAACTTCTGACTAGGCAATGTTATTGGCTCCCTCAACCTGGGGACTTCAGATATGATGGGACTATAACATTTCATGTTGGCTAGAAATTCTGGAAGCTGTAAACTCAAAAGACATAAAAGAAACAGATTTGGAGAAGGCTGCTGTATTCTGTTTTGTTTGGTATAAAACTGCACTAAACTAGTCTTTGATCAAAGTTGTTTTTGAATGTGAATAACTAAACATTTTAACAAAAGAGGAACTTTGGTGTAAGATGCTCCTTTCTTGATCTCTGGCTCCAAAACAGGAACATCCATAGCATCCAGGAACTATACTTGAGCTTTACACTAAACTAGTGCAAGACAATCTTCATTTAACTCTAGTGGAGCATATCACCTGAGTGAGTAGTGAAAACCAGGCAGTAACAGAAGAGGAATGTTTCCACAATACTTCTGAGTGAACACTTTGTTGAATGCAACCAGTGCAGTTATTTAACTGGCAGGAATTAGGGGTACCATCTTGGAACTGAAGTTGTGCTGAATTCTGTCTGGTTGGGATAAAAATGGTGCTGAATCCTAGTATTGTCTGTTGCTATTATCAGTGTCATTACAGAAGCTTATGGTTGGAAAAATACCAAGAATAATAGAGCTAATGCACGAACAAGTTTCCCTGAAGTGCAATGAAATCCTAGGATTATCTCTGGTTTTAGCTGGCAACAGCTGCTAGTACAAGATTAACAAAATCTTACCCTTGACTTACATGAAAGAATTCTGTTAGCTTGCCATTTAACATACAGTACATTACATGTTAATTCTTGTGCAGTTTAGATTTAGATGGCACACTTAAGCTAACCATCTCTTTTTCAGTCTTTTGTTACTATTTACTGAATTTTGAAGTACTGTCCAGTTTTAAAGGACAGTCCCAATGTGTTGCAAGATGAATTTATACATACACACACTTCAAAACGCTAGACGCTTCAATAATCAGGGCTGAGCCCCTTTGGATCCTCAGAAACCAAGTGGGTTTTGCAGTGAGTGTCTAAAGGATATCAAAAAGTGTGCCCAAAAAGTGGTGAAGAAGGGTTCCAGAGACAAGGTGCTTTGGCCGAGAAGGTCCTGATGGTGGTTAATTCTACTAGGTTGGGGTTAGAGTGCACATTCCTGGCTGGACTAGAAAACCTGCCTTTTTTATGGCACCCCTTCCCAAGATTGGATTGGCCTCAATTTTGCTAGTCATTTGTCAGGCATTACAGCCCTGTTTTTTCCAATGGGGTTTCAGGCTGGAATGTTAGATATACAGTGGTACCTCGAGTTACGAACGCCCCTCCTTACGAATTTTTCGAGATACGACC